GAGCCGTATGGGAGAGACTGGGTCGCCTGTGGGGGGGGGGGGGGGGGCGGCGCGACTGAAAATGCTATTTGTCACAGGGATTTGCACTACCCACTTTCTCGAGGGGCATAGGCATGCCCTGGGTCCCCTCTGTTCGCTGATGGCAGAGAGGACGCTGACCATTTTGTGCAGGACCCCAGGCTGAAGCTTGGTGAGACCCCTTGCCCAAGCTGACATCTCGTTTTGTTTCAAGAGACTTGGCAGCATTTCAGACCCCAGGGCCTGGAGACCCTGTTGTTGGAGAGTCTTCCTACTTTTGCCTCACAAAAAAACAAGCTGAAGGGCATTGGGGATGGAAGGAGCAAGCTCTCTGCCTTTGGCCAGAGTCCTAGCCATGCCTCCACCCTCGTTCCCTACCTGTGATCTCCATAGACTGATGCCCACAGGGCTGACGTTCTGAGTGACCAGCATTTTAACTGACAGTTTGAGTTCAATAGCCATAGAGACCAGGCGGGAAGGAGGGATCCCGACCCCCTGTTCTAGCCAGACACGTTGGAGTGTAATCTACTCCAGACCCTTTGCTTCCCTCGAAGCCCAGGTTCAGTTCCTAGGGTGCTAAGTATTTAGCAGGACAGTGTGAAGATGGGCCGTTTCCCTCATCCAGGTGGCTGTCAGCCGAGGTCACCCCAGGTGATTGGCCCAGGGATGTTCTCTCCTCCTCTGGTTTCAAAGATGTGCAAAACATGGTTTAAAAAACCATGTCTGGGTCTTCCCTGGTGGCGCAGTGGTTGAGAGTCCGCCTGCCGATGCAGGGGACGCGGGTTCGTGCCCCGGTCCGGGAAGATCCCACGTGCCGCGGAGCGGCTGGGCCCGTGAGCCATGGCCGCTGAGCCTGCGCGTCCGGAGCCTGTGCTCCGCACCGGGAGAGGCCACAACAATGAGAGGCCCGCTTACCGCAAAAAAAACAACAACAACAAAAAACCATGTCTGATTCTCAACCTTTTGCTATTGGAATAAAGCAGAGTTTATTTCGACACATGCCTCGGTCCTGTTAATCCCGTAACCAAACTTAGCAAACTGGAGGAGCTGCTCAAAGCTAATTATCTCTGGCTCAGAGCAAAGCCCGCCCACGCCCCCACCCCGAGTAACGCGCTGGAGCGCCTGCGCGGGTCGGGCTCGCTGAAAGGGCTCTCTTAGGCGGCCGGGACCTGCTGCGCATGCTCGGCGCCCACTGCCTGGGACGGACCTCCGCGCACCGGAGCATCTGCAATTCTGACTCGCATCCTGGCCTGGGCATCCCGCGCCGGGCCATGACGGCGCACTCCTTCGCCCTCCCGGTCATCATCTTCACCACGTTCTGGGGCCTTATCGGCATCGCCGGGCCCTGGTTCGTGCCGAAAGGACCCAACCGCGGGTAAGGATCGCGCGCGGCCCAGCCTCCCTGTGTACACCTTCGCGGCCGCGCCCAACCCCTCCCCCGGCGGCTGCGCGGGCGGCGGCGGCGGCGGCCCGCGGTGCAGCGAGCACTGTCCAGGCGCGCG